AGGACAAACTTGTATGTATCCTGCAACAAACTTGATTTAATATAATTTTCTGCTTTCAATCCTGTCTCTTTGCTTGGTGACTTCATCAATCTGGGAAATTCTACTTGTTAGCACCACCTGGCATGCTACCAACTCTGTCACTTTTATAGTTTATTGTCATGTCACTTGATTTTGAAAGGGATGTACAGGGTTATAGAAAAGGTGGCAGCATCCCAAAGGTCTTCTTAATATTTCCAGAAATACCACATACTCAGGTACATATTTCATTTTGTCTGGCTTATTTCTGTTTTGTTCACTTTTTAAAAAAATTCTCACCCCAAGGTGTTCTGGTGCTAAACTAGTATATTAATACTAGTGATAAGATGATCCACCACTAATCTCATATATGTAAAAAAAACCACGAAATAATTTGGAGGACATAATTGTGAGGGAAAGAATGCATGGGCAGGTATTCCTGAAGCCCTGAACATCATGCCCAACTTCCTACATCGCTGAAACACTAACATGTACTCTGTTTTTACTAGAATGAATAAACTCATCACACAGGAAAAAGTCCACTCAAATTGTTCCATCTTGGAAAAAGTAGAAGCCGTCAATGGCAGAGAAAAAAAAGGCTGTGGTGGGAGCAAAATGGACTGGACTGATTCATATCAGTCTTTGCATTGTGTGATCAGTAAAAAAACCATTCAAATTCATTCAAATCCATCAATTTTACAAACAGAGCAAATCCTGCAATGTTTCCCCTTTGCCTAAGTAAGCAATGCAGAATGGAAAGCACTCTCTGCCAGCCAGAAATTTGGCTTACTGGGCCGATCTGTTAAATAGGCAGTACAAAGTGTAGTGGATGAGAACAAACAGTAAGACTTGACTTCTTCATTGCTGTGGCTTTCACCCAAGTTTTGTCTGAGTGCCAGAGCTTCTTCATACCACTCCAGCTGAAGAAATGGCAAGTGGGAGTGAAATTAGGAAGGAAACAGAGAGGAGAGGCAAGATGGATCATCATCAGTTTTGGCCTTGCACGGGGGCAAAGAAAGTACCTGGCCACAGTGGACTGAAAAACAGGAAACCTACCTTGACGGGGGAACAGATATGTTATCTGGGGGCCCACTGCTTGCTGAAAGGAAGTCTGTTTAAACTCCTGTACTGCAGCCAAAACTGTGCTCACAACCTGGGGTTCAATCCCAGGTAGCGGCTCAAGGTTGACTCAACCTTCTATTCTTCCGAGGTCAGTAAAATGAGTACCCAGCTCACTGGGGGGGGGGGAATGTGTAGCCTGCATAATTAACTTGTAAACTGCCCAGAGAGTGCTTAAAGCATCACACTTTGCTTTTTTTTTTTTGCATTGCACTCTGTTTAAAAATGTAAATAACATTCAAATTATGGAAAATTTTTATTTTGGTTTTCTGGAAAAATTCAAGGAGAATAGAAAGAAAAGAGAAAAGCAAATACTGTGGCACTTTAAGGACAAAAATATTTAATTCATTGTAAGCTTTTGTGCATCAAAATCCACTTCCTTGGGTATCTTTGCTTTTGGCTCTGTCCCTTGAACCTCCTGCCACAGTTGGAGGCTATGATGATGTCACAAAATTGATCGACCTAATGTGTTAAATGGGAGGAACTGCTCCTGCTGATTGTCTGAACTACCAGCAGAAATTCCAAGCACACAAGTCCGCCTCATGGTGCCTCAGCCAATGACTACATCTGACCCTGTGGAATCGCTCTCTGAAGGATAACAAAGAAAGCTTTCAAGAAGTAGAAATGGGATTCTAAGAGCTAGCTGCAAGAAGCTGATTAATTACAACCAAAATGGAAACTGTCTTTTTCTTTTTCTATCCTTGACTTCGTCTCACCCAACAAGAATTTACTCTCCTTTCCTACACAAATGAGGTAAGATAATTACTTTAAACTGGTGGCTTAGAGCCATATTCCTGCACTAAACTTGCTACTTGCACATAAACTCAATAATGGACTAAGCTCCCTGAAAAACAGAAAAGGGAGAAAATTGAAAGTAGAAATGAGAATGAGCTGAGAAACATATGGTATATAATGATCTTAGTCTCTTACTTCCAATATTTTTTTCTGAAGGCCTGATGCCTATAACATTGAGAGCTACTGTTCTAACAAAGCAAAGATTCTTTGATCCCTTATTCAAGTTCAGCATTAATATGAAGGTCCCGCTTTTATCAAAAATGAAATTCACACAGGTCTTTGTATTTTACCCTGAGTTTGAAGAACATTTAAAATTTCAATTGTTGGAAGTAAATCTAAACAAAAATAACTCCATGGATAATTGTAATGGTGACATTGAGTACTGCTATGGCAATGGTGAAACATAACTTTCTAGTGATTCTAAATTAAAATACTGTGCCCCATGTAGATTTCTTCTGCAAGGAAGGCATTACCTAATGCTTCTAGAATACACTAAAATGAGTCAGCCCCTGAAAATGTCACCTGCGCTAGGCTTCTCTGCTGCATGCCCCTGGGTGAGGAAAGGGGCAGCCCCTTCAGTTCCTGAAGAGGACATAGACAATTTGGTTTGGACTTGAGAATCGTGGCAGATGAAGGGAAATGATTTCTGTATTGAAAGAATAAACCTCTTGGCTATCCACTGAAAAGGGCCACCAAGATACTCAACTAAAGACATTCCTTATAGGTTTCATCTTCTGAAATATATGGCCACAGAGTAACAGCTGTTTTCAGAAGCATTAAGCAAGTGAATGAATAGATACTGTGTTTCCGAAAAATAAGACAGGGTCTTATATTGATTTTTGCTCCAAAAAATGCATTAGGGCTTGTTTTGGGGGCATATTTTTTTTTTCATGTACAAATATCTATGTTTATTCAAATAGTTATTTTCTTCTGGTTGCTGCACAATGGTGAAGGGTTTCACTTAACTAGGGCGTATTTTGGGGGTAGGACAGATTTCATTTAACTAGGGCATATTTTGGGGGTAGGGCTTATATTACAAACATCCTGAAAAATCGTATTAGGTCTTATTTTGGCGGGGGGGAAAGTGTAGGCTTCTCACCATAGCTCACTGGCTTAGATATCTGCCTGCAGAGCCAGAGGTGGGAAGTTCAGGTCTCCACTGTGCCTCCTTGACAGGAGTTGGATCTGATGATCCATAGGTCTCTTCCAGCTTTGAGGTTCTGTGATGTTGATGATGATTCCAGAAGTGGTCTCTCCCTTTCCGGAGGCAGCCCTCCACCGAGTGTATCAAGAGAACAAAAAGGTGATGCCACTTTCCAGTTTGCCCTGTCTGCAATTTCCCAGAGTGTCATCCAATAGTAACTGTCAAACAATAATTTTGTTGCATTTCAGAATTGTTGTGTGCAAGCCATTTCTGAATGGGTACATTTCTAGATCAACTTTTCACAGCTCAGCCTCACAAGGCTTTACCTATTGGTTTGATTTGTCATTTGGGGTCCTTCCTCTGCCAAATTTTCAGAGAATCCTCACAAAGGGGACAGGAAGGGGGACAGGAACAATGAATCAAGAGATCTTATTGTTTTTATTTAACAAGGCTGTTGTGCAAGACAGATTGAGGCTAACCCTCCATAGGAATCATATTAGAATCAAAGTTTATTTAAGGTTGTTGTGGGTTTTTCAGGCTCTTCTGAAGGTTGTCCTTCCTAACGTTTCGTCAGTCTCTGTGGCTGGCATCTTCAGAGGACTGGAGTAGGAACTCTGCTAGTTCTGACTCCTGTCCTTTGAAGATGCCGGCGAAACGTTAAGAAGAAGAACCTTCAGAATACAGTCAAAGAGCCCAAAAAGCTCACAACAACCATCAGATCCCCGCCGTAAAAGCCTTGACAATACAAAGTTTATTTAGCCTTAAGGAATTCCAGCCAGTATTCCCCACCCCCACTGCAATGAACAAGGGCATATTATGTTTCTAGCAATATATACGTGAAGATTCTCAGTAATCCAGGTGAGGTTATCTGTAAATTGGCAACCTACCAACTCTCCTCAGATTGAAGAAGCTACTTGGATGAGTAGTGAAATGTTTCAAACTAATAAGAAAGAAGCCCAGTTGCCAGGACTCATTTTCCAGATTATGTTTCTAGCTTCTGCTGCCCCACTCACATTACAATTAGAAATTTTTGGGTCAACTCCATGTCTACATGGGCAGAAGAAACTGGCTGTCTACACATATTCTTTACTGTAACAGTAAGGTTAGATGTGGCAATTTGGAAACTTATGGTATTTTATTCATGGGTTGCCGAAGCACTTTAAAACAGTGATTGAAATCTAGTCATAGCTAGACTATTCTCCCTGGAAGCAGATTACGGCCACTGAAGTTAGGCCCACTGAATCACTGGGGATTTGTTGAGTCTGAGTCCCTATGCAAGTTCCTCTGGTTTAATGGACTAACTTTAGTTGTAACTTACCTACTGGATTTTAGTCAGCATTTGAGATCTGCAATACATTATGCATGTTTATAATTATGTATGCAATACATTATGTATGTTTATAATTAATAATGCATGCTATCAAGTTGATTTTGACTTAAGGCAACCCTTTTCAGGGTTTTCCAGGCAGAGAATACTCAGAGGTAGTTTACCATTCCCTTCTGGGGGCGCCCTGGGACTGTACAGAAAGGCCATACAGGCTGGCTCTACTCACAAGAGTCACCGTGGGGAACTGAACTCCCAACTTCTGGCTTCACAGCCAAATACCTAAACCACTAAGCTACCCTGCTAGCATGTCTTTTTATCTGTGGTACAGATATTCTTTGTATATCAGGCAATACATTTGGAAAGGAAATTCGTATTAAAAGTATTGCTCCAAGGGGTTACATGGGTATGGGGTGCACGGTAGTTTAGATTGTATAGTAAGTATTTTCTATATCTATTTGTTTTTGTTCTGAAAAAATAAAGATTAAAAATAAAAAAGTATATCAGGCAACACACACTTTGACAAAGCCAGATGCTTGGGTGTTCAGGACCAGAGGGGGAAAATATACCATTAATAAAAATAGGCTGATTTAGACAACTATGTTTAATTCACTCCCATTTATTGCAGCAATCCCTCCCCAGTACAGAGTAGAAACTGCAATATTCAATTGTTGTTAAAACATTAGAAAAGCCATTGTGTGTGACAATTACAGTACAATATTATCAAAATATGACAACATTTTCAGACTGTGGATAGTACCAACCAAACCTTGAGCCTTAAATTAAGACCATAGTTCATTTTTAAATAAACAGAAAAGCATATAAAAAGAATTATGTAAAAAGGAAAGGCTAATATAAACATAATGAAACAATAAATAAATGATTCGTTCTGCTACCTTCTAAACACGTCTTAATTTCATAAAATAAAGTTTCATCTACAGAAATGGTATTGCTGACTATCAATGAAAAACAATTATTTCAAGTCATTACTGATTGGAACTTAAGAAAACATGGAGCCCCAAAGAAAAAGTTTAATTTGTACTAAAAAGAAATTGGAATGGCTATATCACAAACTTGCCTTTTGGTAACAAGTTACAGTTTAAGTTTATTGAAGTGTTAGAAAATTAAGTTTTTACAGCTGTTGACTTGATGGTAGTGGGTGTGTGTGCAAAGTTCTGAGAATTCTCAGGTGAGGAGCAATCTTTATTAACTCACAGACAATTTACTCTCGTCAACATATATGTTTAGATAAAATTTGGTATTTTGATACACAGCACACACACACACACACAGATACTTCTTATTTGGTTCCTTTTACAGGTTACAAGCAATAGTTTTCCTGAATGGGCAAAAATTTAAGTGTACCTGTGCACTTTTTCTGAATAGCAGCATCACACTCATGCCCTATTATTTGTCTGTACAGAAAAATAGAAGTTCAGATTCATTGAATCATTGTATGCCTCCTATCATCACACCAATAAGCACCGCAAGTGTGCAATAATCAATGGTATTAGTTACACACTGGGAATGTTTTCCAGAAAGTAAACTGTTGTTATAACTTCCAATTTCCTTCAAAAACTAGATACTGGCATTGATTTACTCTACCTGGCAGCTAACCTGTATTGCACTTCTGAAAAAAAGGGAGAACACAATCAACACTGGAAAGACCATGCAAGCTGTAACTTATTGGAATGTCAATCACTGTATACAAAATTGCCTCCTCTTGGTAAATAGGACTTCCCGAAGAAATAACTTGTACATTTACTTGGACCTTAGTTAGTGTAAGTTACTTATACTCGGGATATTCAGTCTTGTATGGTACTCTGTATTAATGCCAACAAGTTATAGAAGTTTAGGCAACTCTTTCAAATAGTAGGCATAAGCACTATTATTACCCAAGTGATTCTCCGTAAGCAGTTTATAGAGTAAAAAAAAAAAACTTCCATAAAGCAGTCAAAACACACAAATTGGCAGTTCTTGAATACACAAGGAGTCTCATACAAATTAAAATTCAAAGTTCAAAAGGATCAAACCTGAGTATTTAACAAGACTAAACAAAGATTCTGACAAGTGAATCAACTGCCCTTAGACACCTGTAATAAGATGTGGTCCATTTAACTAGGTGAATCAGCTGTTAATTCTACTTAGATGGTCCTTTGCACTGCATAAAATAACCAACATTACAGCATCCTGTAACAAAACTGCAGTTCCACATGGAACAGCAGAGTGAAGACTGGCCCACTAACCTTCAAGCACAGTAGCCCAAGGAGGGGGAAATATGTAGGATGGAATAGGAGAAAATTAATCTCTCTCAATTAGTACATTTTAGCTTTATTCAAGCAGTATAAATTGAACAGTACAAAGCCCTAGATACCAGTATCATGAATTCAGGCTTGTATTACAGTCAACTTGCTCCACTTACCTGTTTCAGATCTAACAGACAGCTTTAAAAAAAACCACTCATATCCCATTCTGAAAAACAGGAAATGCTCAACAGTAAAAACTAACAACTTGATGGAAGACCAGAACACATTTTTAACAGTACGATGGAAGAGTTTAGAAACTAAAGGAAGGTTGATCTAAAGCTTTCGCCAATGGGAGACTGACATTCTGTATAAATTTACAAAACAGGGTATATGGATGAAATTTGGTTAACTTCAGAAGGCACCTCAAGGCTAAAAGGCTTTTATAAATCTATAATCCTTTCATTGATCAAAAATAAACACTTTTATTGCTGCCGCTCAAGTAGCAAAGAAAAAAACTGTTTATTCATTCTTCAGTCTACCAAGGAATCCTCTTCCATTAAGCAAGATTAAATTACAGAAGGATTAGAAGAAAACTGAAGCTTTCACAATTTCTGGATATAGTGACTTTCCTTGTGTGCTTTCAACTCAGTGGAATAGTGAAAAGTAGTCACTTTTTGCCTGTGTGTGATGTTATTATTTTAATCAAACATCTCAGTCTCTCCCCTTTAGGCACTGAAGTACCATTTCTTCACTGCTGCATGGCTCACAGCAGTGCTTAGGAATAGAAGGTAAGAACACTCTGATGATTCCCACGGACAAGAAGAATGGGTGGCAGGTCCTTGGAAAGAGCTTCTATCCATGCCATATATAGCGCACTTGACACTGCACTTTTTCGTGCAACAGGCAAACTCCTATAACAATGGAAATGAAAAATGAAAAAGCAAGCAAGTCAGAAATGGAAAACTGATTGATAACAGTGGTAAACAGCTAGTATTTATATTTTAGCAGAGTTTCTGAAGCATGTGAGATGTTCTGAAAGTGGTTTTCCCTTGCAACCTTCCCCTTACTCAAGTGAGTTTGCATGTCTGAGCAGGGATTTGAATCTAGGCTTCCTAAGTCCTAACCTTATACAGTGATTCCTCGCAAGACGAATGCTTCACACAAAGAAAAACTTGCAAGACGAAAGCATTTTGGAATATTTGTGACTCACAAGACAATTTTTTTTCCTATAGCCATGCTTCGCAAGACAAATAGGAACACATCAATTAAATTTCAATCCATTCCTATGGGGAAACCGCGCTTCGCAAGATGAAAATTTCAAAATACGAAATGACTCGCGGAACGAATTATTTTCATCTTGCGAGGCATCACTGTACTCTATCTGCTACCAGCTTGGTTCTTAGGGTAATTTAAGTAGATTAGCCATGCAGGGCTTTATGTCATTAAAATTCAGTACTGTTCAGTGCCTTAACAGCTGTAGTGGTGGTGTTACAGGGTGCAATATTCTTAAAACACATTTCTTCTTATATAATAGTTTTGCTACTATTGAACAAAGTTATTTCAAACTAAAACCAAGAGAATGCAGTAGGGATTATGTTCAAGGAAGCATGCACAGAATTACTGTATTTTTCGCTCCATAAGACGCACTTCCCCCCCCCAAAAAAAAATTGGGGGAGGGAGAAGTATGTGCGTCTCATGGAGCGAATACAGTAAAAAAGGGTTCAGCCACCACCACCCAGAAGCCTCCCACTGCCATGCTGGGAGGTCTCTGAACTGGCACCAGAGACTGCTTGCTGTTTGGACCTCACCATTCTGCACTGCTGGCTTTCCAGGATCTCTTTCCTGCAGCCCACCTGGAAAACCAGTAAGGCCAATAGGCCTATGGCAGCAGGCAGTGAAAACAGCCAAGGACCAAAGGGGAAAGAGTAATTCTAGGAAGAACAGGGGAAATCACAAACACAGTCCCCCATTTAGGCAGTTGATTTTCTCACATTTGGGGAAATCACAGGGGTCAGCACATCCAGCGTGCAATAGATGAGCCTTACCCTGGGAAAACCACTTTGATGATCATGGTATCCCCCCTGCCAGGTATGAGTTGGAATGGCCCCTGAACCTCCTGCCCCTTTCTGTGCCCTGTCCCCCAAAGGCATGGTGACCCCCCCCCCGGCTGCACCATCTGATCA